CCATCTGTCCATCCATCCATCCATCCATCCATCCATCCATCCATCCATCCATCCATCCATCCATCCATCCATCCATCCATCCATCCATCCATCCATCCATCCATCCATCCATCCATCCATCATCTTCTGCTTCCGGGTCATGGGGGCAGCATCTTCACCAGGGAGGCACAGACATCAACAGCCACCTCTTCAACTCTTCTAGGACCCCACGGTGTTCACAGACCAACTGACTATTTATTAATTAATATCCTGATGCATGTTCAATAATTCAGGTAGAAAAATCTAAAAAGTTAAGTCTGGTCCTCTGGACATTCACAAAACAAACAATACAGTTTATAATAAATAAACAATAAATGTTTTTTTGTTTGTTTGTTTTGTTTGGTTGTTTGAATGTCCAGAGGACCAGACTTAATTTTTTTAGATTAATAAGTAATACATTTATGTTTTTAAATTTAATGAAAGACAAATCTTTAAAATTTAAGGACAAAATTTAACCAAATTGTTTTCAAGTCTGTAGCTTATTGTAAAAGCAGTTTCAAAGATTACAACACAGTGTGATGTTTTGTAATTTTAACATGAACCTTGTGCATATCTGTAAATAATAAAAGTGAAGATATTTTAATACATCTTTATTGTAAAAATCTATACTAAAATGTAAAACACATGGATTTAAAGCAGCAGGAAGGCAGTGAGGTAGGATTATGAATCAGGTTTAAAAGTTACATCTCATGAGGTACTCCATCAGAGCATGACATCTCTTCCACAACACCTTGAGACAAAACCTTCAGGGTGTTCTTCTTCTAATACGTTTAGTGGTGGCTAGTAAGTAGCTTAAGGGAGCACTACCGCCACCTGGTGGTAAGACCAGTTAGATTCTAGTCCCCGCCTACAGAGCCGGTCCAGAAGTGTAAATGGAAACACGACGACACACGAGCCGATCTGAACCGACCCGAACTGGCCTGATCCGCACCGTAACAGTGGAAAAGGGGCATTAGAAACATAATTTTTGATCAATATATTTGTCAGTCAAACTGACCGACATGTAAATTAATACAGACACTGTTTGCTGGATGCAAAAGTAATTGTGTTAGTTTTACTAAATACACAAAACAAGGTGGACTCAGCATGGATTAATGGAGACACGTCACAGAGCAAACTCTACTCAGCCGGCAGCGACTTGTTGTGGATCGAAGTCGCTACATTTAGTCA